GGTGAGAAGTTAGAAAAGCTATCCGTGTCCATGATGGGGAGATTCACCCTTTCTGTTTGTCACAATCACTGGCACTGAAACTTAGAAAAAACATTGAGGAATAGGCAGGAATACACAAGAACCGTCTAAGAGGAGATTTTAACCTTAGTTCAAAGATATTTTCTCATACTTCCTGTTTTGTCTACAGGACAGGAAGTAAAAGGGAAATCCCCCCAATGGGACCAGATTGTATTACCCCCCTCAGATTCACCATTTGTATTGCCTTCTTTTCTATTGTGTTCTTTTCACCTTTATCGCTGAGACTAAAAGTTAGAAAAAATGTTGAGGAATAGACAGGAACACACAGGACATCTTCCAACGGTGACACTCGTGTTTAACTGAGATATTTTACCTTACTTTAAAGGTTTTCTCTTACTTCCTGTCAACAGAACAGGAAGTGAGGCAAAAGCCCTCCAATGGGACCAGAATGACGCGTTTTAACCATTTTCTATTAAATCCAAAGCGGAAAAAAAAAAGTTTCGGCTTTAGGTAAAAGTTTGTGTGGCATTGGGAATGTTTATTATTGTACACGTATGAATATCTCTTGTCATTGCGTATTGCTATTTTCTTCACAAAAAAGGGAGTCTCTTAACTGGGTGTGAGGCACACTGAGCGTCACTCACATTGGGGAAAATAAGTATGCAGATGGAAAGATACCATACCAGCGGGCGGATCTTTTATGAGCAATTTTTTGCCTAGAGATTTGACATTTTGGACTTAGGTTGAGTATGGATAGACTTAGTTAATACACCCATGACACATTGCTGACCACTAAGTAAAAGCCGGACAGTCCTATCTGGTGTGTAGATGGCCATTCCAGAACACAATATAGGTGGACATGACATATGCTCCAAAAGAAAGGCCTGGATACAGCAGGCAAGCTAAGAACTTTCCATGGACAACAATGATCTAACACATAATTATTTCTACAAGTACATTGAATATAACGCATCCTGCTCTTCTGATAAAACCACTTAAAAGTACAACACCAAAACACATAAATACTAACATAAATACTAACATTGCATTGTACATACTGATGATGTCCTACCATCTCAGTCTAAAAATGCACGGACACTTATTAATTCTATTGTTTTGATTAGTTTAAAAAAAACTGGGAACCCCTGAGGTCAAAAGAGCAATAAAACTGAGATTTATGGATTTAAGGCAACTGCACAAAATTGAAGTCCTGTGTATTTATTTGGTGACCCCAATGTAAATTCTAATGCCTATCTAATTTAGTTGACGTTTAGTGTAAGGGTTATTGCTTCTCCCCTCTGTGTCAGGCATACTTGGATGTAATATGTAGCTCTGGAGACAAATTTATTGAAACAAGGAGGCATTCAAAGAGTGAGGGTGGGGGTGCATTTATCCTCTATAGGTCCTGCTGTAGAAAGACAGATTCGAGTCGACTGAATGCAGAAGCTCCTGCTGTGAGTATGTGATCAATCCTTCCATAGACACAATGGACCCCCTTCTGGCGTTTGCTGCCTTTCTCCATAAAACAGTTAGCTGTCTTTCACTGTCAATCAAACATTACAATTTTATTATTTCCTAAAATCCTTGCCCACACTGATGGCTCTTGTTTAAGAATGAAGTGCTTGCACAAACAATACAAAAAAAAAACCACAGTAGCTTTCAGATTGGGAACCAGGTCTATTCATGTATATGAGGAAGACATAAACAAAGTCACCAAGAGTCTAAATTCCTGGAAGTGATCATACAGCAGGCATGGCTTATAAATAAGTGTAATGGTTCAGTCTTTACCTAACCTTG